ATATATATATATATATATCCTAAAAAAGTGGGTAGCGGCTTGATGGCCAAACCAATTGAGAACCACTGGAATATAACACAAAATGCCATATGGACACTCCCATGAACAATTTTGATGGCACACACAAAGAAAAAATGTCAGCATTTTGAATCGATTAATTAAAAGTCAACTGATAATGAAATAAATCAAACTTAGCTATTCTATTGATATTTTTGCTACTGAAGATGTTAGACACTTTTAAAACATTTGTCTTAATGCTCCTGTGTTTGTGAGGCAGTGAGGTCAACTTTAGTCTAATAGTGCAGTTCTTCTTAAGTGCATTAAAATCATGATAATAGCTTGTTGCTGAATTGTATGTCGCCAACAACATCAGCAGCAATATATTGTAAATGTTCCACATATCGCTCAGCCCTAATCTAGGTCTTTTCTACTCTGTCTGTCTCTTCGGTCAGTGACTAACTACTAGTCATTAGTTTAGTAAGTCTTTGTTTCCCCTGATTACCAGAGTAAACATGCGTCTAGCTTATTTCTCACTAATGATGCATTCAGCATAAGTAATGAGTGTTTTCTTGGAGGTTGAGTTATGTTTGTCTGGCGTCAGTATCTTCATACTGTATTTTACCAATTGAAAACTTTCTAGACTCTCATGAGTTGACTTTTTGTAATTGTCTGCTCCGCAGCGGAGGACCCGTCTGAAAACTATGTGAAGCTGAGAGATTTTGTGCTGGTGAAGCTGTGCTTGACTCTGCCCTCCTTCTCCAGTGAGAAACTCTCTCAGGGCTTCAGTGAAGAGATGGTGTCTGAGGCCAGAGAGAAACTCAAGATCAACAAGGTAACATCCCTTGCAGGTTTATTTACTTACTATGAGATGAAATCAAAAGCTGGATTCAAACCTGCATTGCCTATATGAGCACCTCAGCTCAGTGTGTTGTACATTGAATAGATATTTTAGACTTATAATGATTTATATGCATTTTATTTTGCTATTAAGTTTCCTGAAGACCATCCCAGTAGGCCAGCTTCACTAGAGTGTGAAGACCGAGATATTTAAATAGCACCTGTTTTCAAACCTCATTAGATAGTTTGATTAATTTTAATGAATCGGTTCTTTTAAACTGTTTGTTTTTAGTCAAGTCAATGGTATGTGATCATCACTGAAAATGTGCGCAACAGTTCCTGCGTGGCATTTTATATGCTTCGAAATGATTTAGTTAAAAATATATGTGTAGCACTGTTCATTTTACATGGTTATATTGATGGATATCAGTTGGATTAATTAAATACCATTCTTTATTGGGAGACTAACCATTTTTTTAACTCTATTTTGAATATGCTTATCAACAATAGCTTGCCAAAAAAAAAACCCTGAAAATTTAAAGTAATTTCAGACCAAACTTCAAGACACTGTATATTTAAATTAATAATTCCAGCACTTTCACCCAGCCCTATTTTTGTCATGTTTCTTTGAAGCTTTACTGTTGCTGTAAAACTTTGCTGGTGCTGTTGTAGATGAAAAAGCCAAGTAATTATACAGTTAACTCTACAAAGTATTTGTGCGTTTATATATAGAGGTATTGGCTTTGTCCTGATGGGTTTCCAAGTTGTAATGCTACCCTAAAGGTCGGAGTGAACATCCGTTTCCTCTGGAGGCCGCTGGCCATTAGCAGGTAGTGAGTGGGAGTGGGCCTAACAGTGACCCCTGTGGGACTCCTCTATCTCTCGCCACTTCGGCCACTCTTTAGCTGCTCCAATTATAACCCAGCATCCCCTTTTATGCCCCACAATCCCCTCTGTTCATGTTGTTTGTGAGTGATTATCTCAGGGTGGTGCCTCTGGCATGGCCAGGCAAAATGCTTGGCTCTCCATACTACCCTAGTGGGAACTGCGTGTGGTATGGTGGACCTCTCGGAGTCATGGTTACAGATTCAGAATAGCACGGGAATCCTAGAGCATGATGGTTTTAACCCAGAGAATTGGATAAGGTTAAAGAGTCATTCCGTAATTGCTGCTCTTTGCTGTTACAAAACTACATTATTCTCCATTGAGAGTTAGCATATGGACATTAGATGTTACACCTTATTTTAATATGACATGCGACGTAAGCTTCCTTTTCATGTTTGGTTGATTAGAAACTTTTTAATCATCTATGATCGTTCCCCTCATCAATATAAAAAATACTTATAGCAAAACGTACCTAAAGTACATAACACAGTAAACATTTCATATGATTATATCTCTAGTATGAAGCCATATTTATAATTTGCATGATGTTCTGTTTTTGATTCAGGTTTTGACTTTTGCATTTGTGAATGTCGCAGCTTATGCTTTATGGATAGCATCTGTGGCACACTGACCGTTTTTACGCATTTCTTATATAGCTGTGCAAGATCTTGCCTCTCGTATCGCTCAATGCTCTCTTTATTTTCACATAAAATCATTTAAAACCAGTATTTCATGTCCATGTTTTATTTATTTGTTTGGGAAAACAGTGTGATTGAATGAATAATGCACAGTCAGCTGGTCATTATCATAAAATAAACCCCCTCAGGATGATAGAAGACCCTTCATCTTTGTATCCTTATCGCCCTATCTGTGTTTATTTAGCAAAAATGATGTTCTTCCTGAACTCTACTCACAGGAATTACATTGGTAATGCATAACCAGGCTTTCAACTGAAAGTAGTTCCACCTCTAAAGTACTGTATTGACAATGTTCACAATTTGAACAAAACATTATTTTACTAAAGAACAATGCAAGTGCAAGAAAATCTGAACCTCACATATTCTGCTCAAGGTGCCACAGATGCTGTCCCCAAACTTTAGGTTGAAAAAGCTAGAATGTGTTAAAAGAAACAAAGCTTTACAGTATGTCTCTTGTCTGCTGTCTAACTTTCAGAAACATGCACGCCGTGTTTATGAAATCCTGCGTCTCAGAAACACAGACATGAGCGATGAAGAGAAAGCCAAAGAATTTCGATTGGAGGTGAAAAAAAGACTCTATGGACCCTACAGAGTAAGTGTGTGTGTTTTATCTGCTCATGTTAGCTGTAGGTCCATCCCTGTTTGTCTGCATTAACTGACTGCTTTTAAGAAGCAGAATACTGCAATCTGACTCAGTACATTACCCATTAGGCGTAACTGCTACAACTCCCATGCAATGATTAGTCAGTCATAAAGCGCAGAGCCTGAGCTTCGTGTGCTGAACATGGATTTCAAGAAACAACAAAACAAGTGAAGTCTTGCCAAAACAAACCCTGGCTGCGACTGCCAAGATTGGCCTGCTTGTATAACGTTCTCCAAACCGCACAGCTCAAACTACAACATGTGAAATGAAGCATTTCTGGACTTCAAAGAGAGCTGCACATTTCTAGCCCTGTTTAAATGTGCTGTATAAAAATGAGCAGAAACAAAAGTCTTTCAGTACTGCTGTTCTGATATTCTGCAGCCTTTGTCTGGTATAATTTATTCATTGAGTGGCGTGAATAGTTTGCGGCGTTTCCTGTGTGATCCTCTCACGCGGCGTTAAGAGCGAGAGGGACCCGAGGCCCCGGTCTGGGTTTGTTTGAGGATATAATGGCTCACGCCGGGCGGCAGCCGCAGTCTCCACATCCACACCACGAGCTTCATTCACAACAAGTGTCATTATTACAGATTTGCATCTGATTTAAGCGGAGCCATTTAGCAGGAAGAATGCAGCACCCAGTCACCTGCACACGGCCTCTCTCTCTATTCCGCTCTCTCTGCATGAAGACACGCTACAGTTGCGTATCTCAGGTCTGGAGCTGTGCAGTATCACTAAATTCTTTTGACCCTGATAGTTATCTTTCTGCAGGCTTGTACATATGTTAGTTATAATTTTGAGCAGTTTGACGCTGTATTTTATATATATATATATATATATATATATATAAATAAATAAATGTGAAAAAAAGAATCATTATGTGAAATATCATTCTTCATTTTGTTCAAAGTTTGAATTTCTTTCTTCTGTGGAACACAAAAGGAGATATTTGCAAAAATCTCCTAGTTACTCTTTTTCTATAATGAAAGCATATTGTGGTTAGTAGCTGTCATGACCAAAAACAAACAAAATCACGATAAATGTATATTGCATAACCACAAGTGATATTTTAGAGCAGTCTTTTAGTGAATAGCAATTTACGACATTCTTTCTCAAAATGATCATGAGAATAAAATGATCATGATTCTTTCTCACACAAAGCTTATCATATGTCTTCAGAAATCTTGTAAAATAGTATGTGACGTACTTCTGGAATTCTTTTATGGCATTTTATTGTTATTATTTTACCCCCTTTTTTTGGAGCTTAAAGGGATACTCCACCCCAAAATTTAAATTTTGTCATTAATCACTTACCCCCATGTCGTTCCAAACCCGTAAAAGCTTCGTTCGTCTTCGGAACACAATTTAAGATATTTTGGATGAAAACCAGGAGGCCTGTGACTGTCCCATTGACTGCCAAGTAAATTACACTGTCAAGGTCCAGAAAAGTATGAAAGACATCATCAAAATAGTCCATATGCCAATAGTGGTTCAACCGTAACGTTATGAAGCGACGAGAATACCTTTTGTACGCAAAGAAAACAAAAATAACGACTTTATTCAACAATTCGTCTCCACCGTAGTGCCATTTTGGAGAGTATCCACTGAACACAAACGGCGTATGCTGTTCTGTGTCAGCCGTACCACACGGTTACGCTGTTTTCGTTGAAATCAAAGCGTAAATAAACAGAGAAAACGTATCCGTGTGGTGCATATCCGTTATTTTTGTTTTCTTGGCGTACAAAAGGTATTCTCGTCACTTCATAAAATTCAGATTGAACCACTGACGGTAAATGGACTATTTTGATGATGTCTTTCATACTTTTCTGGACCTTGACAGTGTAATTTACTTGGCAGTCAATGGGACAGTCACAGGCCTCCCGGTTTTCATCCAAAATATCTTAAATTGTGTTCCCAAGACGAACGAAGCTTTT